AGAACAGACACATAGATCAATGGAACAGAATAGAGAGCTCAGAAATAAGCCCATGTCTCTATAGTCAATTAATATTTGACAAAGGGGATAGAAGCATAAATTGGAGTAAAAATAGCCTCTTCAACAAATGGTGTTTAGAGAGCTGGCCAGCTATATGCAAAAAATTGAAATTCGACAACCAACTGACACCATAGACAAAAATAAACTCAAGATGGATAAAAGACTTAAATATAAGTCATGACACCATAAAAGTTCTAGGGGAGAACATAGGGAGAAAACTCTCGGATATCCCACACAGCAATATTTTCACCAATATGTCTCCTCAAGCAAGGGACATAAAGGAAAAAATAAACAAGTGGGACCTCATCAAAATAAGAAGCTTCTGCATGGCTACAGAAAACATCAGCAAAATTAAAAGGGAACCAAACATATGGGAAAATATATTTGCCAATGATACATGAGATAGAGGTTTGATCTCCAAAATATATAAAGAACTCACATGGCTACACTCCAAGAAGACAAACAATCCTATTAAAAAATGGGCAAAGGATCCGGACAGACACTTCTCCAAGGAAGAGATCGAGAGGGCCCAGAGACGAATGAAAGGACGCTCAGCATCACTAGCCATCAGAGAAATGCAAATTAAAACCACAATGAGCTACCACTTCATACTGATCAGGATGACCATCATAAGCAGATCAACAAACAACGGGTGATGGCGAGGCTGTGGAGAAAAGGGAACCCTAGTGTATTTTTGATGGGATAGTGAACTGGTGCAGCCACTGTGGAAAACTGTTTGGAATTTCTTCAAAAAGCTAAAAATGAAACTGCCTTTTGACCTAGAAATTCCACTGCTGGGGTTATATCCTAAGAATCCCAAAACACCAATTCAAAAGAACCTATACACCCCAATGTTCATAGCAGCATAATTTACAACAGCCACATGTTGGAAGCAACCTAAATGCCCATGAGTAAATGAGTGGATCAAAGAACTATGGTACATAATGGCATACTACGCAGCAGAAAGAGTGAGCTACGACCCTTCATGACAGCATGGATGGAACTAGAGGCATTATGCTAAGTGAAATTAGCCTAGGGGCAAAAGACAAATACCATATGATATTACCTGTAAGTGGAACCTAACCAACAAAACAAACAGTCAAGGAAAATATAACCAGCAACACTGAAAAAAAAGAAATGAACAGAGTCAAGAGGAAGCGGGGGCAGGTCAGTGAAAGCAAAGGGAAGGGTCAAGTCAAGGAACATGTAGAAAGGACCCATGGACAAAGCCAAAGTAGGGAAGGATGGAGGAAGGGAGGTGGGGAAGGTGGCAGGGGAAAGAGGTGGCGAGAAGGTGGAGACAAATGTGTTTGAACAAAAAATAAAAATCAAAAAAAGAAAAAGATTAAAAATACTTAGCTGCATATATTTAGACCTAAAATAAAAATCTGAAAGAAAAAGAAAAGCTATTAATTTAGAAATACAGGATGAATAGTTTTATATTTCTAAGGTAACTCATAAATTATGATTTATAATAAGATTGTTTTTATTAACATTTCTAAGTCTTTTATTTAAAATAGAGCTTAAGAAACAAAGCAACTAAACCAGCCCACAATCAGATAGAAATATTAAACCACAATATATTTCTGTGAACTTGAAATATAAAAATCATTCAAATGAGGCAGCAGCACATTAGGCATCATAAATCACCCATATAAAGAGAGTATGGGAAGTCTATGGAGCAGAATATCCCTTGACAAAGGAGAAAGGTCTATGGTTATAGAAAAGATCATATCCAAGAAAATAAGATCTTGTTGTCTACAAGTGTACTATTTAAACAGCTTTGAAAATAAATTGTAATCCTTTCATTTGTCTGTTTCTCAAAGCATTTGACCAGTCTTACTTCTTTGCTAATGGTTTGTCTTTGGGATATTTATATTCACTGGGGAAAACATTTCTAATTTTACAATGTATATATACTGAAAAATATTATTTACAACACACTCACTTGTACCCAATCTTTCAGAAATTGGTACATAAATGTATATTTGCAAATTACTGGCCAATACTGGGTAGATTAAAAAAATAACATGATTTTATCTACAGGTCATTTATAATCTCATTGCTAAGGCAAACTCTATTCATATGGAACAAAAATATTCAGTTAGACTTGACCAGGGGCCAGAAGATACAATACAAACAACAGTTTCATAGAGAAAGTTCAATCCTAGCTCAAATAGTTAGGAATTAATGATTTAAAAAGTTTAGTAATTATGCAGACTAAATTTTGGGGGAAATAACCTCATTAAGAATGACTTGCACATTGACCTTATTTAGTCCTGGCAGGTATTTTTATCACTAAAATATGATTTTTCTCTTCTTAGTATCATGGTGGATCTTGAACAACTAGTTACTGCCAGACATTCTCTTTATGGTCCAAATGAAAATCACCTGTCTATCAAAATGTGAATTAGAAAATTCTCTGTAGTTATAATTTACTCTATACTTCTAATAATTTACTCTAAGATGTACACTCTTCTTAAATGTCTTATCTTTTTTCTTGTGACATGTAGCTCAGTTTTCAAGGTTCACTGTTATTCTCAACATTTGCTGTTTTGCTATTGTGTAACTCTAAGTTCTGTAGTCATAAAATTCTAATATGTGAAAAAAAGTGTACACTTAAAGAAAAAAATGTGAAAAAAACTGATGAATAAAGTATTTAAAATAGGAACTTTTACAATATTATTTCATAAAACAGATTTGTCGATTTGTTGTAAACTATAAAGGTTAAGTTAGTGTATGGAGATTTTAATTAGCTGATTTTCTATGAGTGAAGCTTATTCTTCTATACTGCTTATTCCTATGATTATTCATGTTATCTTATTTTTAAAGTTAATAGATTATCCTATATGACTGGTATCTTTATATGCAGAAGAGAAAAGAATTCAAGGACACAGAGAAAAGGTCCTGTGAGACATGGATGTCAGCCAATCACACATCAAGGAGAGAAGCCTCAGGAGGAACCAACTTGCCAGCACCCTGATCTTGGACTTCTAGTCTCCGGAACTTTAAGAAAACATTTCTGTTGTTTAAGCTAAAAAAAAAAAATTTAACACATAACACTGTGTAACACATAACCTTGACTGTAACGTACAGAATCTCTACCATCAGATTATAAACTGGTTTTTCACAAGTGAACAGTTCTGTGAAAGGTACCATTTGTCAATATGACACCGTTATATCATTTATTAGCATCATAATTTCCTGAATGTAACAAATCAAGAAAAGTGGAAAGTTTTCCTTTGAGAAAATTTGGTTCAAATTTTATGGCACATAATCTAGAGGGCTAATTTTTTGTATGAAAAACAGAAACTCGTATTTCAAAATATTTGAAAAACTAAATTTTAACTTAAATGAACAAAGAAGAAATACAGCACAAGCACAAATTTTAGGGAATAAAATAGGGAAGGTATACTTTCTAGTTTCAACACTAGAATGACTAAAATCTCAGTTTCACTAGACCATCTAAAACTATGTACTTTGTATACTCTGCTATACAAGATAATAAATTATTTTTACTAATAAAATCTCTTGTGATGATAAATGCTGCTAATGAAAATACAATGTGTATAGAAATTTGTTACTATGTTATTCTCTAGTCCAAATTCCTTTGAAACCACAGGTCTTCCAGGGGAAAAAAACTGTAAGGTTTTTTTTTCTTTTCTTTTCTTTTTAATTTTCACTCTTGGAAAACTCAGAAGAAAGGAAAAGGAAGCCTGCTGAACCAGAAATTTTTAATATTTTTTAAATATAAAATTTAACCTAAAATATTTTCTTAATTCATAGAATAGCAAATTTATCAATACTTTTGTATATCCTCAGTCCTCATTTGATCTAAATAAAATAATTTTTTCATAGGCCCCATTAGACCAAATATTTACAGGTAATAAATTTTGACATAATACATACATGCACACACACAGATATGTGTGTAAATATATGTGTCTTGGGTCATTTCTGAAAATGGGAAACACTGTGAATCCATACCTGGATCAACTTTTAATTTACATACCAAGCAAAGAACATTAATGGACATATACAATGATTATTCAAACTATACATATGTACAAAGGCATGTATAATAAAACAGTCTTTGCTCTGATTATATACAGTAAGAAAGAATCAAAAGACCAAAACTTAGGGGACTATGACATACAAACTCTTCTTGAAAAAAATGGTTATAAATGGTTTCAAAAATACCAATTATAGCCACCAGCAACGTTATTCTTGCCAGTCCAGGTCAGTATCAGATTCATAAAGTGCACCCACTCTTTGAGGACTAGGCAGTGTTGCAAGAAGCATGGCAGTGTGAATGAGAGAGTCTGGCTTTAGTAATAGTGCCATGTGGAAGGGCTTCTCAGATTCCAAATTGGAATCATTTCTATCCTATTTTTTTAAACTAGAATTAAAAGATTTTGAAAATAGGCAAATAATAAAGCAAACCATTGTAAATATGATGCCAATTGTGATCCTTGCTCTTATATAAATTATACATATATTTTGTGTGTGTGTGAGAGACAGCATCTGTGTGTATTCACATACACATATACACTGTAACTTATAAAGTAAAAATAGGGTTAAAAAATTGGCCAAATGTATACATATTTAATTTTAAAATAACATAAATTTATGGCTGATGAAGGTTTTTTCTATTTAAACACAGTATATTTTTGGGGGGAACAAGATAATGAAAAGTAGGGTCCTAAAAGACCTAGATAGGAAACATACCATGGACTTAAAGCTTGAAACTGGGTAACAAACCTGAAGGCCAGTAAACAAAAAGGTCTTGGTTTCAGGAGTTGAGAATTCAATTTAAAATAAACTTTCTAGCAAATTCTGGCCTTAAATGCCTTCCCAATAGAACCAAAGATGAGAGCACCTGACAGTACAGAAGGAGAGTGAACTCCTTACCTTTATATCAGCAATATTTTTTGGCACTGTCTTGGAAGAAAACTATTTTTTAGAAATAGTAACATTCAGAATGACAAATTCCAACAGATTGTATTAAAGTTCTAGGAGCTTGAAGTTTAAGCCCCAAAATTCTTCATCCATACATATTCTTGTTATAAGGAATTATAGAATTGAATCTTAATGTATCTTAAAAATTTACAAATGTCTAAATTTCTCCTCTTTGGAAATAATGTATTTTGCAATTACTTTTGTTCATGGGGTCAGATCAGTGACATTTTTCATCTTCAGTTTCATTCACCATTGTTTCCAAGCTGTCAGTATTTGCTAGTAATTATGAATTTTCAACAATGTTATTCAAAACCTAGAGATAAATCATATAGTTGAAAAGAAAAGTATTCTTCCTTATATCACTGAGAACTCCACTCTGAACATCCTGACTCAGCCTAGACCTCTGCAGAGACTGTAAAGATCAGTCAAGTGCTGGCCTGAAATCAGTGAATCAAAACAACAGCAACTTCAGTAAAAAGAAATTATGTGCCATATACACATCACACCAAATACTTTATATTTGAGAATGTTTACAGCTTACATTTCCATTCCATTATTACAAGTGATGAAAAAAAAAAAAACCCATGAAAGTAGCATGCAAATTATAAATACACAATCTTCCTATGTCACAAACCACATTTTTACTTGTGTTAATTCCCAATTTATTCAGGACTGCCTGCAAAACGGAAACTTATTAGAAAGTTCTTTATAGTTTAACATATCTCCCTCTCATTTTAGAAGAAATCAAGTACCCAGCCATCAAAATGAAGAATAAATTGAATTGTCACAGTCCATTAGTATTATTGTTACTAGGTTCACTTCATTTGCAGGTGTCCAAACATAAAACAAATAATTATCTTCAAATTCATCTGTTCTTAAAATGCTCCTTAAAATTTTTGTTGGTTTCCTATAATATAGAAGAAAACATTAATGAATACAGCTTTTACTAATTCAGGTGTCAAACCAAATACTGTAACGCTACTAACTGTTTACTAATCTAAATGCATATTACTGTAGAAATTATTAAAGTAAGTGGATTTTGTTGAATAACAAAACAATTCTTCTATGTTTAATAAAACAAATGTAATTCCTTTTTAAATATATTGCATAGTTGTTCTCTTTTGTGCTACATAATTCTTAAAATTTTTGTGGTAAAAATTTTTAATTTTTAATGTTACTCATGAATATATCAAAATAAAACTAAATTCTGATGTATAAGGAGGGCTCAAAATGATAAGTTCAACTTTCATTTTAAAAACAAAATATTAGAGATGAAAACTCTACAATTGAAAAAGTAACTATTTAGAGAATTACAAAAATCTATAGGGAAACTATGAGGAACTAACTGCAAATTATATCAGCATGAAAAAGGACATAGAAATTATCAATAAGGGGCAAGAGAAAATGAAGAATACAATTTCTGGATTGAAGAACACAGTAGAAGGAATCAAAAGCAGGCTAGATGAAGCAAAGGACAGAATCAGTGAGCTTGAGGATAAGGTAGAAAAAAGCTCCCAGAAAGAGCATGAAAATGAAAAAAGACTCAAAAAGAATGAAAAGACTAGAGTGTGGAATATGGCAGAGGAGTGAGTGGAAGTCACACTGACCTCCTCTTGGACCAAACTGGAATTGCAACTAAATTGTGGAGAAATCACCTGGAAAACAACAGAACGATAGTGAGAGAGGAGCCTTGGACCCTCAGAGAGACAGTGGAATCAGCTTTCATACAAACTAATGGGTGAGAAGTACAGTGGATGCTTGAGAGGGAGGGCTGGGCACCCACGGGCACCAGCACCAGAGAGATATTGAAATGGCCAGTTGGATCCCCCTAAGAAGAACAGGGTCTGAATCATAAGCGGGAATCTCTAGCCTACAGCATCAGAACTCAAAAAAGTACACAGATAAAAGACAGCTGTGAAAAACAAAGTGGCGCTCTTTGCCAGAGAAAGGCGGCAGGAGACACAAAGAGCCGTTTAAACAGCCAATGCAGTGGCAGCTGCCTTCCTTGGTTTCTGGGCAGAGGTGGGGATGGAGCAGGGTGGAGCCTGAGAAAAGATTGGAGAGTAAGGCTTTGGGGAAGGAAACTAAGATGGTGGCCACGAGGGCCCCAGTGATGGCTCACCTCCCACTCCGCACCTTCTACTTGCTCAGGCTTAAAGGACAGAGTAGCCTCACCCTCAGAAGCCTCTGACCCAGCCAGGAGTTGTACGCAGCCCTGGGTGCTGAGTGCAGAGTGGCCAGCACAGATAGTAGATCCCCAGCTAAAGGGGACACAGAGCTGTGTAGAGATGCTTGAGGAGAGACTGTAGACAGAGGCACTGGGGAGTGAACTGAGGGAGTAGCTGGTGGGTCTCAGTGATGACTCCTCCCCCTTTTCCCAGTCTTCATCTTGTTCAGGCAGGCCATGACCCAGAGAGGCAGCAGCTGGAAAGGAAACAATAGCGCTGACCTCAGGATGCTCTGTCCTGCCAGGAGTTGCGCACAGGACTGGATGCTGAGCGCAGAGTGGCCAGCACAGAAAATGGATTCCTGGCTAAAGGGGACACAGAGCTGTCTAGAGACACTTGAGGAGAGACTGGAGACAGAAGTGTTGGGGAGAGAACTGAGGGAATAGGTAGAGGGATATCGGTGCCGACTCCTTCCCCACTCCTCAGCTTCCATCTTGCACAGGCAGACCACTAACCTGAGTGGCAGCAGCCAGTAAGGACACAATGGCCCCACCCTCAGGAGGCACTGTCACACCCTGTGGTGCCTAAGCCTGATGGCTGAGGGCAGAGTGACTAGAGTAACAATTGCAGAAGACAGACACAGGCCGTAGATTCCTGGAAGTCTCAAACAGACTGCCGAAGGTCTGAAGAGGTCAACATCTGACATCATCAGAGGCAGACCCAGAAAGAAAAGAAAAAAAAAAAATAACCCCTCTACTACCATAGATGTTCAAACCACAAAATCAGTAATCAAGGCAGATACTTTAAGAAGTAGAAGCAAAAAAGAAGTCTGACAAATAATAGGAAGGAAAAGAAACAGCCCCCAAATGAGGGGAAAGGAGGAATCCCCAAAGAGTGAATAACTTGAAATAGAGGCAAGTAAGCTATCAGATATTGAATTCAAACCTCACCTATAAGCGGAACCTAACCAACAATACAAAGATGCAAGGAAAATAAGACCAGCAACACTGAAAGGAAAAGAAATCAACAGAGACAAGAGGGAAGGGGGGGGGGGGTGGGGAAAAGGAAGGGAAGGGGAAAGTCAAGGAACATATAGCAAGGACTCATGGACAAAACCAAAGTGGAAGAGCTGAGGGAGGGAAGGAGGGAGGAGGCAAGGGAAAGTGGTGGGGGGGAGGCAGAGACAAATGTATTTGAAAAAATAAATTAAAATAAAATTTAAAACAAAACAAAACAAAAACACAATGGTTCTAAGGAAGCTCAATGAACTCAGTGAGCTCAAAGAGAATTATGAGAAACTATAGGGAAACTATGAGGAACTTACTTCAAACTATATCAGCATGAAAAAGGACACAGAAAAGATCAATAAGAGTCAAGAAAAAGTGAAAAATACAACTTCTGAATAGGAAAACACAGTAGAAGGAATCAAAAGCAGGCTAGATGAAGTCAAGGATCGCATTAGTGAGCTGGAGGACAAGGAGAAAAAAAATCCCAGAAAGAGCAAGAAATGGAAAAAAGTCACAACAAAGAAGGAGAAAAAAAATCCCAGAAAGAGCAAGAAATAGAAGAAAGTCACAAAAAAATTTTGGGAAAGGCAAGACAAGCAGAAACCGAATAACATCTCTATAATAGGGATACCAGAAGGAGAAGAAGAGGAGCAAGAGATATATAACCTGCTTGAAAAAGTAATGATGGAAAACTTCCCTAATTGGAGAAAAAACTCTCACAAGTCCAGGAACGACAGAGGGCCCAGGAAGGAAAAAAATATTCCAAGCAAATCGACAGGGAAAAAAAAGCAGGGGTAGTAATACTTATATCAGACAAAATAGATTTCAAAAAGAAGGCCATAAAAAGAGACCCAGAGGACACTTTACAATACTCTATGGAAGAATCCATCAAGAAGACATAAATGTTGTAAACATGTATGTACCAAACATAGGAGATTCCAAACATATGATGAAAATCTTGGAGATCTTCAAGAAAGATACAGACAGTAACACACTGAGAGTAGGAGAATTTAACCCCACTGTCAAAAACAGATAGATCTTCCAACAAAACATCAACAAAGATATCATGGAACTGAACAATGCATTAGATCAAATGGGTTTAATTGACATATATATAGAACCTTTCATCTCAAACAGAAAAATAAACATCTTTCAAATGCACACAGAACATTTCCAAAGATAGACCACATGATAGAACACAAAATACAACACAAAACAGCCTCAACAAATTCAGGAAACTTGAAATCATAACAAGCACTTTCTCAGACCACAAGGGCTTGAAACTAGAAACTAACCTCAAGGAAAAACCTCAAAAACATTCAAACTCATGGAGACTGAACAGCACACTATTAAACAATGAATGGGTCAAAAATGAGGTCAAAGACAAAATCAAACAGTTTCTGGAAACAAATGAAAATAAACACACAACAGTCCAAAACCTAAGGGACACAGCGAAGGCAGCCTGAGAGGCAAGTTCAGAGCAATACAGACCTACTAAAAAAGACATAAACATTTCAAATAAATGACCTAACCCACCAGCTTCAAGAACTTGAAAAACAAACAAACAAACAAAAAAAGCCTAGAGAGAGTAGAAGGAAGCAAATATTCAAGATCAGAGCAGAACTCAAGGACATGGAGACTAAAAGAACAATTCAAAAAATCACCCAATCCAGAAGTTGGTGCTTTGAAATGACAAACAAAATCGACAAGCCTTTCAGCAGACTCATCAAGAAAAAAGGGTAGAGGACCCAAATAAATGATAGCAGGAATGAAAGAGGAGAAATAACAACTGATACCCCAGAAATACAAAGGATTGTAAGAAGTTACTATGAGCAATTAATTATATGTGAAGAAATTTGATAATCTCAATGAAATGGACACATTTCTAGAAAAGTATAACCTTCCAACACTGAATAAAGAGGAAGCTGAAAGCCTGCACAGACCGATAACAGCTGGGGAAATGAAAGCAGTAATCAAAAAACTCCTGGCACACAAAAGCCTAGGACCGGACGGTTTCACAGGAGAATTTTACAAAACATTTAAGGAAGAGCTAACCCCTGTCCTTCTCAGACTATTCCAAAAAATGCAAGAAGAGAGAAGACACCAAAACTCTTTATATGAGGCCAGCATCTTCCTAAACCCAAAACCAGACAAAGACACAACCAAGAATGAAAACTACAGACCAATATTGCTTATGAACAGATGATAAAATCCTCAACAACTATTGGCAACCCCATTCAGCAATACATTAAAACAATCGTCCATCATGATCAAGTGGGATTCGTCCCAGGGATGCAAGGATGGGTAAATATTCACAAATCAATAAACGTAATACATCACATAAACAAAAGGAAAGTCAAAAACCACATGATCACCTCAAAAGATGCAGAAATACATTTTATAAGGTACAGCATCCATTTATGATAAAAAACACTTATCAAAATGGGAATTAAGGGGGCATACCTCAACATGATAAAGACCATATATGAAAAACCAACAGCCAACATCATATTCAACAGGCAAAAATTAAAAGCTTTCAACTAAGATCGGGAACAAGACAAAGTAGTCTTTTATCACCACTTCTATTCAACATATTATTGGAAGTCCTAGCCACAGCAGTAAGACAAGAAAAAGAAATAAAAGACATCCAAATTGGAAAGGAGGGAGTAAAACTATCACTGTTGGCTGAGTACATGAGAAAACCCTATTGAACCCACGAAAACCTACTCAACCTAATAAGTGAATTTGGCAAAACAGCAGGATAAAAGTCAATATTCTGAAATTGAAGGCATTTTTGTACACCAACAATGAAATAGAAGAAGCAGAAATTAGGAAAAAAATCCCACTTGCAATAGCAACAAGAAAAATAAAGTACCAAGGAATAAATTTAACCAAGGAGGTAGAAGACCTGTATGCAAGAAACTATACAACACCGAAGAAGGAAATTAATAAAGACACAAATAAATGGAAGCATATACTGTGGTAATGGATTGGAAAAATTTACGTCATCAAAATGTCCATACCACCCAAAGCAATTTATAGATTCAATGCAATTTCTATTAAAATACCAATGACATATTTCACAGAAATAGAACAGAAATTTCAAAAATTTAAATGGAATGATAAATGACCCTGAATAGCCACAGCAATTTTTAGAAAGAAAAACAAAGCAGCAGGGATCATAATACTGGACATAAAACTATACTACAAGGCCACTGTAATCAAAAGAGTATGGTACTGGCACAAGAACAGAAACATAGATCAATGCAACAAAATAGAAAGCCCAGGAATAAACCCATGTCTCTATAGTCAATTAATATTTGACAAAGGGGGTAGAAGCATAAATTAGAGTAAAAACAGCCTCTTCAACAAATAGTGTTGGGAAAGCTAGACAGCTAAATGCAAAAAATTGAAATTTGATCACCAACTGACACCACACACAAAAATAAACTCAAGATAAAAGACTTAAATATAAGTCATGGCACCATAAAAGTCCTAAAGGAGAACACAGGCAGTAAATTTTCAGATATCCTAAGCAGCAATATTTTCATCAATATGTCCCCTAGAGCAAAGAACATAAAGGAAATAATAAACAAGTGAGACCTCATAAAAATAAGAAGCTTCTGCATGGCTAAAGAAAATATCAGCAAAATAAAAGGGAACCAACAGTATGGGAAAGTGTATTTGGCAATAATACTTTAGATCTCCAGAATATATGAAGAACTCACATGACTCCACTCCAAGAAGACAAACAATCCAATTAAAAAAACTGGACAGACACTTCTCAAAGGAAGGGATACAGAGTGCCCAGAAACGTATGAAAGGATGCTCAGCATCACTAGCCATCAGAGAAATGCAAATTAAAACCACAATGAGGGACCACTTCACACCAGTAAGAATGTCCATCATAAACAGATCAACAAACAACGGGTGCTGGTGAAACTGTGGAGAAAAGGGAACCCTAGTACATTGTGGATGGGATAGCAAACTGGTCCAGCCACTGTGGAAAACAGTTTGGAATTTCTTCAAAAAGCTAAAAATGGAACTGTCTTTTGACCCCGCAATTCCACTGCTGGAATTATACCCTAAGAATCCCAAAACACCAGTTCAAAAGAACCTATGCACTCCAATGTTCACAGCAGCACAATTTACAATAGTCAAGTGTTGGAAGCAACCTAAGTGCCCATCAGTAAATGAGTGGATTAAAAACTATGGTACATTTACACAACAGAATACTACGCAGCAGAAAGAAAGATGGAACTCCTACCCTTTGTGACAGCATGAATGAAACTAGAGAGCATTAATGTAAGCGAAATAAGCCAGAGGGTGAAAGACCAATACAATATGATCTCACCTGTAAGTGGAACCTAATCAACAAACAAGCAAGAAAAATGTAACCAGCAACACTGAAAGGAAAACAAAAGACAGTAACCAGAAGGAAGGCGGGAGTGAGGTAACAGGGATAAGAAGGGGAAGGGTCAAGTCAGGGACTGGTCAAATCAGGAAGCATGTATAGAGGACCATGGGCAAAGCCAAAGTGGGGAAGGATTGAGGGTGGGAAGTGGGGGTGAGTGGGGCAGGGGAAAGTGGTGGTGGGAAAATGGAGACATGTATTTGAACAATAAAAAAGTAATTCTAAAAATAAAAGAAAAAGTAACTATTTTACATGCATTGAAATTTACAAACCAAGAATCATATGTTCCTAAGGTCTCTGAACTGATAGAAAAATTCAAACATCATTATTAAGGACATTTTTCCTCTTTAAAATATTCCTGTGTGTGAGTTACTATGCAAAAAATTTTAAAATTCGTACTTTAATTTTAAAAATAAGAATTGGCTATAGAGGTGCAAATTAGGGTGTTTAAATGAAGAAACATTGGTGTATAAGTTAAAATTTAAAAAATTTTAATTAAGACAAAAAGGCTGTGAAGTCTAAAGAGTTGGATATTCAAAAATGGAGAACATATTTAGCAGTCTGTATCTCAATTTTAGCCATTTTCAGTATATCTATATTCTCAGCCCTTCTCAATAAAATTCCAGTTGCTTTTCTTTCTTTTTTTCTTTTTCTTTTCTTTTTTTCTTTGTTTTTTCTTTCTTTTTTTTTTTTTTTTTTTTGGTATATCATGATAGTGTTTGTGAAAACTCCAAAGTGAAGTCATTTACTTCTATGGAAGTAAAAAACATAGAAGATGAAAAATTAACACATAATGAGAGATAAGCACCATAATGAGCACTTGTTGGGATTTAATCCTAACAAGTTGGGTTATCATCCTTATCTATAATTGCAAAACTGAGGCTCAGGGAGGTAAAAGTTTGTATAAGTTTGAACAGGACACCAATGTACAGAATAACACAAGCCTGATGCCAAATTGATGTCATCTCCATCAATATCCTAAGAGCTATGTTTATTTATTTTTTGCATTTATTTTGATTGAATCTGATGAGGTGAGAAATATAAAGGGCTAAGAAGAGCATAGATGTGTTGAAAAAGAATTTGGCATGACACTTTTTACTATAAAAAAGACTACATGAACAGAATAGAGGGCCCAGGAACAGGCCATATATATTACCAGAAAGATGACAGAGGATTTAGCCTCTCAATAAATATTGCTAGGATAATTTATAAGTTCTGGGGATTATGTTTTGGATATCTTTGGAGGAGTCATTATTCCATCTAGCACAAAGATTAGAGAAAACATCCCTTTATTCCACTCCCTAGCTTTTAACTCAGTTAAGGAATAGACAGAAGGGGAGATCAAAATATCAGCTTTGACTTCCAGCCAATATGGAGGCATGGGTAAACAGAGATTGCCTCCTTGCACAACCACATCAACATTAGAACTAAACTACAGAACAGCCATCACTCAGAACTGTCAGAAATCGAGTTGAATGGAAGTCTGGCAACTACAGCACTAAAGAAACCACATCCATTCAGACTGGTAGGAGGGGATGATACGACATTCATATGTGATGGCTAAAAATTCGGGAGGGAAATCCCCGGAAGTGAGGAGTCCCAGCCCCACAACAGGTCATCCAGCCAAGGGTTCCAGTACCAAGAAGATAAGTTCCCATAGCTTCTGGCTACAAAATTCAGCAGGGATTGAGTCAGTGGAAGAAACTTCTAGAGTCCCAAGCAGTTCCCTTTAAAGAACCCACAAATGGACTTACTCAGACTCACTCCCTCTGAGTTCCAGCACTAGGGTAGCAGCTTGAAAGGCATCGGTGGCACACAGTGAAGAACTGAAGTTTCTGGCATCTGGCATCAAGGGGAGAGCTTGAGGACAACTTTCTCCAAGAAATAAAGATGGACAGAGGCCATTGTCTCTTTCTGAACACTCCCCCCACAGAAATACAGAGCTGGCAGGCCAGTGCCATATTTGAGATTCCATCAGCCTGACTAATACTTTTGCCTTGCCCTGGAGGTCCCCTGAGACTCTGTCCCACCCAACCTGTGTGCCCATACAAGTGTTAACAGTGACTTTCTATATGAATGGCTGGTCTTGGCTTATGCTTTACAACTTTCTAAACTATCCCAAACAAGGAACAGCTGTCCTCAGTGAGCCCCCAACTCCATACCTCCTGTTAAGTGGCCCCAGGACGGGCACTAGCAGTAGCCAGCCTAGATTCACAGCTTGGCTTTGCCTGGGAATCTCCAAGCCCAGAGCAAGTAGCAGCCATGTCAGATTACTTTATAGCTCAGGCAGGGTGGTCCCAGACAGAAGAACACAGGTAGGGGGAAGACCTTGGCCTGCACCACCTGGGAAACCCCAGAGTCTGTGTACCCAGTGAACAGCTAAAGACCATGTCAGAATACCACCACTCTGCCCCTGCACAGCTGATCCTCCAGGAAAGGCGGAGGTTGCTGGTCAGTGGTCCCAGTCAGTTCTTGCATCTAATTAACCTGGGTAAATCCATCCCATTGACCTTCCAACAGCAATCAAGGCTCAACTACAAGAGGAGGGTGTGCTCAGTCCACACAAAGGGTGCTCCTCAGGTACCCAGCTTGGGTGATACAGGGAGCTGTGCCATTGGACTCTATAGGACATCTATTACTTTAAGCCACACTATCAATATAGAGATCATAGTAGTTCTACCTAATGCATAGAAACAAACACAAGGAGGCTGCAAAATTGAGGATACAAAGAAATAGGGCTCAAATGAAAGAGCAGGACAAAATTCCAGAAAAGAGCTGAACAAAATGGAGATAAGCAATCTATCAGATGCAGAGTTCAAATCACTGGTTATAAGCATGCTCAAAGAACTTAGCGAGGACCTCAACAGCATAAAGAAGATCCAGTCAGAGGAGAAGGAAACACTGATTGAAATAAATAACAAATTACAGGGAAACAAGAGTAGAGTGGATGAAGCTAAAAATTAAATCAGTGATTTGGAGAATAAGGAAGCACAAGGAAGAGAAGAGAAAGAGCAAGAAATCTGACATTTGTATGAAAAAATATGAAATAGTGTTTCCCTAATTTGGTTAAAGAAATAGATGTGCAAGTCCAGGGAGCACAGAGAGTCTCAAACAAGATGGATGCAAAGAGGCCCATTCCAAGACACATCATAATTAAATTGCCAAAGATTAAAGATAAAGTGAGAATCTCAAAAGCATCAAGAGAAATGTGGTTAGTTACCTACAGGGGCATTTACATAAGACTATCAGCTGATTTCTCAAAAGAAACTTTGCAGGCTAGAAGGGATTAGCAAAAAATATTTGAAGTCATGGAAAGCAGGGACCTACAGCCAAGATTGCTCTACCCAGCAAAGATCATCTAGAATCATAGGACAGATAAAGAGCTTCCCAGAACAGAAAAAAACTAAAGGAGTTCATCATCACCAAACCAATATTATATGAAATGTTTAAAGGACTTATCTAAGTGCCCATCAGTAAATGAGTGGATCAAAAACTGTGGTATGGATACACAATGGAATACTACACAGCAGAAAGAAAGAGCTACTACCCTTCGTGACAGCATGGAGAACATTATAAGTGAAATAAACCAGGGGGTAAAATACAAATACCATATGATCTCACCTATAAGTGACACATAATCAACAATACAAACAAGAAAAATATAAACAGCAACATTGAAAGGAAAAAGAAACTGACAGTAATGAGAGGGAAGGTGGGAGGGGCATAGCGGGTAAAAGAAGGGGAAGGGTCCAATCATGGAGTATGTATAAGGGTCCCATGGACAAAGCCACAGTGGGAAGGATTGAGAGTTGGAGGTGGGAGTGGGTGGAGCAGGGGAATGTGGTGGCAGGAAAATGTATTTGAACAATAAAAAAATAATTAAGAAAAAATTATACAAAATTAGAAAAGCACTTACTGGTTTTTGAAGTACAACAGGATGATCAGGCAGAAAGTCTGGTTTTTTCCTGCAGATGGAAACACTTGAGAGCTTCAACAGGAATTCTCTGCTGTATTTAATTCTCTCTGTAGATATTAAACATCAAATGTAATGCTACAAAACACAGAACTCTCCCAGATCACTTTTTGGCTCAGTGCTTTCTGAATGTCCCTTAACTATCCATCATTTCATAAAATGAGTCGTTTCTATGCAAAAAGCCCAGGGGGTGGAGCTTGCCTCCCATTTTCCTTTTACAAGAAAAGGAAGCCAAGTAACCAAGGAAAAATTGAGGAAATAGACCATTTCAGAAAGTTGGTAATGCCTGTTTTCTTTCATGTGACAATTCAAGCCTACTAAAATGACCTTGTATTATAAAGTATAACAGCAGTAATACGTACGGGGCAAGTGAGATACTGCCAAAATGGAACCCTAATAAGCTCCTTTATATTAATGTACTAAAAATTTAATACAATTGAAATAAATTCAAGAAACATTTATTGTACACCAACTATGTATCATAGCCTGTGTTAAGTAATGCTGAACAAGATCCATAACAGGTTCCTCTCTTCAAGGGGACTTCTTGGGAACCATCATGCCTGGTTTCAGGGACAGCAGCCTTGGCGACAGGTGAGAGGGCCCCAAGGCTGGAGCTAAGTAAGGAGGCCTTGGGAAAATAGGCCAGTGAGGAGACAAGACCTGTACCCCTGGCAGGGGTGCAGCCCCTGCCTCCCTCACATCCCCCTGCTTGGTCCCGGAGGATGGCTAGTTAGTCAACGAAGGGTAAGATCCCTCGATGCCAGTGGCAACCTAAGACAGGCACAGTCACATATGGGCAATCAGGGAAAGACTTGGGGGACACGGAGAAGAGGCAAAAGACCCTCACCCCTTGGCTTTGTCAGGGCCAGGGTCCTCATTCTATCTGAAAGAAGTCTCCTCTTCTTCTGGCTGCTCTGCTCCTGGCCCTGACTCAGGCTTGAAACAATGCTAGAGGCAGGTACAGCCCTAAATTGGATCAGGAAGTTCCTGGGGGCAATTACGCCTGGAAAAGGAACGCATTAAATCCTAAGCAACCTGCTTTGCTAAGAATGCCCTTGACTTAATGAGTACTGGTGTTTGGGGTCCAGGATGAGTTTATTTTCCCAGGCTTTAGGGCTGAATGGATATCACTCTGTCTACCAGACCCTGACTCAGAAAGACTCTTGTAATCCCTTTACTGTTACCCTTGAACCATATCTCCTTCTTTTAATCATTACTGTTTAACATTGATTGATGAGTTTTACATGCATGCTATATATCCCTATACAAGCTAAACTCAATAAAAGCCCAAGGAGAAAAGTGTTCAGGGCTCTTCTCCTCTGAGAGATTAGCCAGCCTTTCCTCCCCAAGCAGATCTTTCGTTGGGCATTTTCATTTCATCCGTGACACTGGGGGACACCGTGGGATAGGGCTCCCCCTTCAGGGAACAATGATTCAAATATCTGCAAATTTCTTATCAGAAACTATCACAGAAATAGACCTGTGCCAGAAACAATGGAGAAGTTTCTTTAAGGGACTACCTGACACAGAGTTCCAAAACCCCTTGGAATTTCCTGGGGAATAAAAATGTCTTTAATTATAATCAGATGGCTCTGGGAAGGCTGTTGGGCTGGTCATGAGAAAAATCAAGCCATGATTAGAAGCTTGGAAGTTTCAGCCCTTCCCCAACTCTCTGGTAAAGGGGGAGGGGCTAGAAATGGAGTTAATGATTGATCATGCCTACATGAAGAAGCCTCCATAAAAATCCCAAAAGTATGGGATGCAGAGAGCTTCCAGGTTGGAGAAAAGATCCATGTTACAGGAGGGTGGGGCATCCCAACTCTACAGGGAGAGTGTTCTTGCACTTGGGAACGTTCCAGACCTTGCCCTATGTATTTCTCATTTAGCTTTTCAACTAAATCCTTTATCATATTGTGTAAATGTGATTTATGTTTAAGTCCTATAAGTTGTTCTAGTAAATGACTGATTCCAAGGAAGGGTTCTTGAGAGCATTCAATTTGTAGCAAAGGTAGACAAAAGTTCTGGGTAATCTGGAGACCTAATACCTGCAAGGGTTGTCAGAAGTGAAGTAGAGGGTTCTCTTGTGGGACTAAGCCCTTAACCTGTGGGGTTAGTGTCAGGATTAGATTGAATTATAAGACATCCAGCTGGTGTTGCAAAAAATTGCTTGATGTATGGAAAAACCACACATCTGATGTCAGGAGTGAAGTGTTGGGAGTATAGGAGGGTATTGAGAGTGGAGAAGAAACACAGAAGGAGGGTCCCTTCCACATATCCAATGGTAAAATTTTCAGGAGTGCATGTGAAGCAAAAGACATTTCTATATGAAAGAAGACAAAATATTTGTCACCAGCTAATTTGGTTTACAAGGAATGCTAAAATAAAAGAATTCTTCAGGTTAAAGGAAAATCATACTTGATAGAAACTTTAATCTTCAGAAATAAAAGGAAAAAATAATAAATGAAGAGCATGGAGTCAAGGTGGTAGAGTAGGTAAATTCTGAGCTCTCCTCCTCCCATAACCACATCAAAATTAAAACTAAATTATAGAACCATCATTGAGAAACACCTGAAGTCTAGCTTAACAGAACTTCAATGAGTAAGGATATAAAGAAGAAGCCATGTGAAGACTGGAGGGGCAGAGACATGGAACAGGCTGGTCTTACACCCATGGGTGGTGATTAAAAATTGGGAGGGGTATCTCAGCTACAGAGGCCCCCCACGAGGAGCAAGGGATTCCAGCCCCACACCAAGCTCCCCAGCCAGGAGTACCAGTGCTGGGAAGAAGAGTCTCCATAACACCTGGCTGTGAAAATCATCTGGGAATACATACAGAAAGACAAAGGGCTGCTAGAGAGCAAGGCATTGCTCTTAAACGGCATGGGCACAGACTTACTTGCTCACAAGCTCACTCACTCTAAGCTTGAGCACATGGGCAAGTGCCAGGGACAGATATAGAACTAAACTGACTAACTTCAGGGTGAAGGCTGGAGCAACGGAGACTGGGGCAACTCTCCAGAGACAAGAGTGCCATCAGGCACCATTGTTCCTTTGTGGAGCTCTCTTCATACCCAGGTGACCCAACACAGGTGGGTGCCAAATCTCCATTAACTTGGTTAACAACATTCTTCCCTGATGACTCCCGGAGACCCCACCCAACTCAGTCACCTGGCTCCTGCCTCTTCCAGAGGCTCTTCTACAGAAGCAGCCTGCCTCAACTTGTGCTGCAGACCTTTCCAAAAATCTGCAAATCTCACACGACTACTGGCTGCACTTCGCTTGAGCTGTAGAGTTTCTCAAAGGTCTATGAACAACACAAGTATATACTAGCCTCAGCTCATATTGTAGTGCCCACCAAAATGTCCTAAGTCCAGCACAAGTGGCACCTGACCTTGGTTCACACAGTAGCCTCTCCCAAGCATCTCCAACCCCAGCCCAAGCAGCAAGCAACCTCACATCACTTTGTAGCTCCTGCCAAGGACCCCAAGCCTGGCACAAATGGTGGATGATATAGGCCCAAGAGAGAGCACCTCCAAAGAGGCTCCAGACACATATACCTGTGGCCAGCTTCAGATTACAGTACAGCCCTACCCAACCAGAACCACAATTGACACCTCAGAAGGATGGCCTCATTTGGCACCAGAACCACAATAAAGCAACTGCCACTCTGAGGGGCTGGGCCCCACACAACAGCTTCTCCTCTGTAGTTTCAGCAGGCCCTCACAGCAAGTCAGCCTGAGGATCAATTCCCACCCACTAATGTGCTACCAGCAATCCATGCCCAAATACAATAGAAGGGCCAACACAAACCACTTAGAAGACATCTCTGACTCAGGTGATTGGGGAGACTGCACTACTAGGCCCTTTAAGACACCTACTATATCAGGCACTCTCTTAAGACAGGGAAACATAGCAGATCTACCTAATACATAGAAACAAGCACAAGGAATCAGTCAAAATGAGATGAGAACCACGTTCCTAATGAAAGAACAGAACAAAACTCCAGAAAAAAAGAACAAAATGAAAAAGAAGCAAGCAATCTTCTAGATGCAGAGTTTAAAACACTGTTTATAAGGATGTTCAATTAACTCTGTGGAAGAGTACATGAACTCGGAACTTCAACAAAGATATAAAAAACATTATAAAGATGGAAAAAATAACAGAACTAAGGAATACAATAACTGAAATAAATAATATATTAGACTGAATTAACAACAGATTAGATGAAGCAGTAAACTGAATCACTGATATGCAGGACAAGGCAGTGAAAACAGCCAGTTGAAACATCAAAAGAAAAAAAATGAAGACAGTGTAAGGAGCCCCAAGAAAAAAAATGAAGACAGTGTAAGGAGCCTCTGGGACAACTTCAAGGACACCAGCATTTGCATCATGGGGGTGCTCAGAGAAGAGAGAGAGCAAGAAATTGAAAACCTATGTGAAAAAATAATATGGAAAACCTTCCTAACATGGTGAAGGAAACACACACACAAATCTAGGAAGCACAGAAAGTCCCAAATAAGATCAACCCAAGGAGGCCCACACTAAGACACATCATAAGTAGAATGCCAAAAGTTAGACAAAGAATCTTTTTTGTTGTTTTGTTTTGTTTATTTTAAATTTATTTATTTATTTTTTCAAATACATTTGTCTCTGCCTACCCCCCACCACTTTCCCTTGCCCCCTCCCTCCCTCCCTCCCTCCCTCCCTCCCTCCCTCCCTCCACTCTTCCTCTTTGGTTTTGTCCGTGAGTCCTTGCTATATAGAGCAACAAGTTAAAGGCAATCTGTTACCTACAAAGGAGCTCCCATAAGACTGTCAGTTGATTTCTCAGCTGAAACTTTGCAGGCCAGAAGGAGCTAGTATGGATTATTCAAAGTGAAGAAAGACCAAGAACTTCAAGCAAAGTTACTCTACCCAGCAAGGCTATTATTTAGAATCAAAGGGGAGATAAAGAGATAACTATATAAGAAAATCTAAGGGAGTTCATCACCACAAAGCCAGTATCACAAGAAATAGAAAAGGGATGTTTTTAAGAAAAGATTAAAAATATG